TTGTTCAAAAATCTGATTGATGTTTAATTGAACCTGTCATTTATCTAATCAACAAAGATAAAAATAGATCTTCCAATCTATAAAGTTTGAAGTTCTTCTTGAAACACACAAAACAACTTTGAAATTACTTAAGAACACAAGAAAGATGAAATGCAAGACCGGCGAACAATAAACATTATGAATAATTATTAGTTATGATCACAGAACATATCACCTCTAGAAAAGTATCTGCAATGGTATGTACCGGTTATGAATTACGGCGCCCTCGTTGACTGAAAACCCAACTAATCGAGTATTCTTGACAAAAAGGCGAATTGATTTTTTTCATATATTTTTATTATTTTTGTATAATTTTTAATGTTCAACTGCATTTGGCTTGCTGACTCTTCTTAGATCTTTTCGCCTCATTTTCTTAAAAACTATGACTGGCAGGAAGTTTCCGATGTCGAACATAGTGCAAAAAGAGTTAGTAAGTTAGCAAGAGACACGCAGTTATAGGTAGATCGCAAAGTAAATACGAATAATAAATACAAATACGAACGAAACGAAACAAACGAATAAATACAAAAAAATACGAACAAAAATTAGGTTTTTTTTCAACCAAAACTTTTTGAATTTTCACTTTAACGCGCGTGGAAACCGTGGGGTACAACAACATAATTTAAAAATTCAAATTTTGACTTTTAAAGTGACAAAATAAATGACAAAACCAACCAACACAAATCACTGTCCACACCACAGATACCTGTAAATTTCTCTTATCTCCCGACAGTGTCGCCATCGTTGAATGAAAACCTAACTAAAAACCTTTGTCGCGATTCTTCCATTTGAGATATTTCTCTATAGGTGATATCGGGTCTTCAAAAAAAAAACCAATCAAAGATTGCTTTGAATACGAAAACGTATGTCGCATTATTGTTTTTTCATTGGTCAGGATTTTTGACAGGACATTTTGACAATAAAGTTCATTGATAAAATTAAAGAAAAATATTGCTAAGACATACGTTTTAAAAACCATAGCAATCTTTGATTGTTTTTTTTTTTTGAAGACCCGATATGTTCTGTGGTTATGATCAAATGAATATTTTGGCATATTGTCATATGTTGACATTAGTCTATGGTTGACATGTCAGTTATCGACATCGGACGTGTTCTCGATGTGCTGGTATTTTACAATTTTGACAATTCTGTGGTTGTCAGCGACATCTAGAAAAACGGAAAAGAGTTATTATGTGGTTTATAACTGGCAATGAGAGATCGCAGGGCCTGATCCAAGATGCTGTCAAACTTAAATTAAAATGTCCGCCAAGAGGCACACAAACCTTTTGTTTGCTTGTCAAAGTGACGTGTTTTGGATAGGCTGATTGAGTTTGACAAGTGTCACTTAAAAAAAAAAAGAAATCCAAATGAAAATTTGGCTTGTTTCTCTCGTGAAATAGTCCAGCCGAATACCACTCAAGAAAAAATTATGTAGGCAAAATTATTCTCTTGGTTTTATTCAAGTTTGTTGCTTTTTGGCAATTTCGCGAATGACATTTTTGACAAAACCACGAGCCGTCAGGCGAGTGGTTTTGTCAAAAATTTCATGAGGAATATTCTGTTTTAGACTTCGTATGGTATTAATTTAAAAAAAAAATTACTTCTTGTGCCTAAAGTTTCCAACTACTGCTTAACATCATCTCTTCCTTGTATATCAGGAAATTCATGTGGTACATTATCTACATAAGATTGCGCACTTAGCGCTACATAGTCTTCTTCTTCTTTTTCATCATCACTTTCCATCTTATGATCGCACATTTTCCAATATTCGATTGTTCTGACCGCTGTCGTGACTTCCAGGTATACTTTCCATATTTTCAGTACTGCATCCCATTGTTTGGTAACTCTAATGTTCGATTACATGTGTTATCTTCGCTGTCATCATGCGATACTACTTCATAACTCCTAGTTATCCCCCTCCTAAAGTTGTTGATGGGTAGTAAATAAGTTTGACATCATGACCTTGATAAATTTTATTTTCTTTTGGACAAGTCTGTATCGATTTGGACAATAGCTAACCATGTAACATTCTCTAACCTGTGTAGTAATGCAAAAACCCTAGAAATAAGGCTTTATTCGACAAATAATTAATGACAAAATCTTGAATGACACACAAATACAGGTAGACATGTTATTAAAACATAAAGGTATATCAAGCAAGCTTATTTTGAAACATAATCTGTCAATTACGGTTTCTTCTGGGTCGGACTAATATGAATTCATCTCGGATGTGTTCAAGTGTGGATTTTCTTCCTGATCATTATTCTGCTTATCAGGTGTTTGTGCATCTTTTTTATAGAAGTACTTTCTTATTCGGCTTCGTTACGAGATTGAAAGGGATTTTCACTATCGTCATCGTCATCAAATTCAGGTGCACTTTCACGGAAAACGAACAACGCATAATCTGGGTTTGCTTCCAGCAAGTACACCTCCTCCACAAACGGGTCATATTTACTTTTCCTAACATTCTTTTCCATCTAAACAGGGCCAAGACTTGAAAGAGTGTTTCAACATGCGTTAATGAGGTATTTGATTTGTTGCAGCACACAAGAGAGATCGGATAGATTCCAATGCATCTTCGAGTACCCTCTCTCATTATTCTGTTTTCAGACCACGAGACTTCAATGCGAGCGAAATTGTTTTCCATATTGTACCATTATCTTTCTACTTGATCATTGTCTTCCGGATTATAAGCAGTTGTTCTGCTAGTGGCTATACCTTTTGAATGAAGATATTCCTTCAGTTCTTTTGACATGAGAGAGCTTCCTCGATCAGAATGTACGTACGAGGGCATTTCAAATATTGACAATAGATTTGTAAAAAAATCACAGTTCCTGCAGTCATATCAGGGCAGGCGTAAGCAAAAGGAAATCTTTCAACGAGACCGTTCTTTGATCTGTAATCAACTTAAATGCCTTGCAATAAGAAAGTGACGCCGTTTCTTCAGAGCTTCTACAATTGCTAGTGCTTCATTTTCAACTGCTGAGTGGTTTTGTTCACTACAAGATAGATTTTTTGAGAAAAACGCAACTGATCGTCCAGACTGGCTTAGGTACGGTTTGTTAGGACAATGCGCGACGCACACCTCACGACGGAAACGTCAGTAGAATCTGTTTAACACGATATTGACACACTGCTGACGCTGTATGTAATTTTACACTCGGTTGATTTTAGCAGACGTGCGTGGCGTTCGACAGAATGTTAGTTGTGCGTCGCTCACTGTCCTAACAAACCGTATCTTAAGAATTGTTGCTACTGAATGTTCGGAGGCGTATTTCCACCACGAATGGAATGTTTTCTTCAATGGCAGTGACAGCTGATTTTGCTACTTCAGTTTTCAAGTTGTGAAAATCGGTGATGGCAGGCTCTTGCATAGGAAAGTTTCTGGTACTAACAATTCTATGAATTTTATTGGGAGAATCTAGGTATCCATTTAAAGTAATGAGCGAACATGCCCACAGCTCTTTGAAGTGAAGCTTTATCAGTTGGTACTGGTACTGGCAGATTCTGTAGAGGTTCAAGTCTTGCAGGATCAGGTTTAAGTGTTCTGTTTCCCAGTAGTTTAATTGTCTTTTTGCTCAACGAACTTTTTCTTTTATTTATAGTAGTTAGAAAAGTTGATAGATTCTTATCGCGTTATTGTTGATTTTTTTCCACAAATTGTTACTCTTGCCTGATGTACTGTATCAGACTCTTTGAAAACAAGCTACGCCGTTAGTCATACCAAAAGGAATACGATTAAACTAATATGAGTTTCCATCAGTTTCAAAAGTAGTGAACTGTTTTTCATCATCTCTTATAGGGAACTGGGAACTGGTGATACGTACTTTCTAGGTCAATAGTGCTAGTAACGTCAAACTTTGAGACTGCTCTCATTTACCCTTCGATATTAGGAAAAGGATAAGCGTCAAGATAAGTAAACTTGTTGATTGTTTGAGAATAGTCAACAACCATTCTCTTTTTATGATTTTCATTCGTTGTCACAAGAACTTGTGCTCGCCAGGAAAACTATCTTCAATGATACCTTCTAAAAGGTTTTGTACTTTACTTGGAATAAATTTGGCATCATCATGTGAAAATTTTCTCGATTTTGTAGCAATTGATTTACATTGCGATGAGAGATTAGCGAATAATTGAGGAGGCTTAACTTTAGCAGGAGCTAGAGAACAGTGCTTTGTTTCAAGTACAGTCATGGCAGATTTTCGTCCTCTAAAATAAACGGTCAACATTTTATGTTGCTCAAAAATGTCATGACCAACGATAATATCAGTACTAGAGGTCTGGTAGAACCGAAACTATTACGTTTGCATACTGATGATCAAGAATGTTGAAGTTGATAACACAAAATACTTTGCTTTGTGCAAGCAGAGAAGTTTGAGCCATAAACACGTAGCCTTTACTTGGTTGAATTGGGATATTATTGGATAAAACTCAATGACTCAGAGCTGCCAGTATCTATTAACGCATCCGCGGATAGCTGATTAATTTCTACTGGCACCGCAGTTTTTGATAAACTTCCAGGAACAGAAGCCAATCTTTGAGACAGAATAGATGCAGTTGTATCACGATTTGAATTTCGACAAACAGTAGAGAAATTACCTTTTTTACTGCATTGTTTGCATGTAGCATGCAGGGCAGTACAAAGAGAGCGATGATGTCTTCTATTTCCACAATAGCATGTAGAAAATTTTCCGGTAGCATTTAAAACCGTGTATCTTTGTTGCTGCGCATTTTTGAAACAAGAAAAAAAATATATTTCATTAACAAACCAGTTAAGAATTTTTTACTTGATACAACCACTGAATATGGCATATTTTTATAACAAATTTATTTATTTCAACCAGTGGCTTCTACACACGCAAAGTGCACATAAACCATTATGTATTAAGTTTGTTTTTCAGAAATAAAAATTTCTTATTTGCATAAGTAGTTCAATAATTCATTTTCTTGTGTCGTTTCAGTATTGTTGTTGCAAGACGACCGTATCATTTTCGCGAAGACAACGACCCGAAGGTCTAAGGCCTTCTGGTGACGTGAGAGTCCACATAATACCAGGTTACAATATGTATTGCAGTCCTCAACGTGCCAACGAAAGCGGAGGAAGAAGCAAAAGGTTCACTGAAAGGTGAACAAATAATGGAAATTGATTATTATAATAATTTATTGTATATTTATTTAGGTGTTCTTCGGCTCGAGCCAATGGGAGAGAAGTCTATGAATTATGATGAGGCGATAATATTGGAACGGCGTTGAGATCTACCGCTGATCATGCTCGGATTGTTTCTGAGCAACATGGGGTATGGATCTAGTTGTGGAAAGTACCTTAACTATAGTGGAAAATATTAATTTGACGAGCTTTTGTTGTTGTAAATTTGGCAAAAGGAATTATCACCTATGTATCAGTTTCCCTATAAGCATAACTTTGTTTCAATTTAGAAAGCTATTAAAAACATACTTGAGGGATGAAGATACATTCAAGATTCTTTAGATTTTTGGTTTTTTCAACAAGAATTGGAGGAAAACAAACAATGTCAAATAAAGTCGAATCTTGTATAAAATAAAAAAAAAGCTTGATTCCTCATGATTGATAGGATTAAAAGATGCACTTTAATCTCTCTTTTGCAATGACAAAATATCAATCCATTTTATATTTTACAAGGCATGTAATTTATTTTGCAAAGAAAACAGGAAGTTTACTGATTGATGGATATTTAACCTTGAGGGAAAGCAACAAGTAGATTATATTAGTGTCTAGGTAGATTGCAGGATGTAGGTTCTGTCCAGTTTCTCATTTAAATTCTAGTTTTTACTGAAACAATTTGAAAAGTTTGGAGGCTTGTTAATGGTATCACTTACCTGTTCGTTATATTTGCATCTTGAATGTACATCACCTACATCCTTCGTCACATTAATAAAAGCAGCTATACATTTTCATAAAAACTAATGCGGGGTACATTCCTTCCATGATATATTCAGGGTCGGATCAAGGTCTTTTGGGGCCCGAGGCTATTTTCACAAAAGGGGCCCCTAGGTCCCTGAAATAAATTCAAACGTCACTCAAAACTTTACCACCTTGCAAGTTAAAACAATGTAATATGCATGATTTCTTCCCCGTGTGAGGTGATGTTTTGAAGCCCCTCTTATTTCGGGGCCCGGGGCTTTGGCCCCCCCTTAATCCGGCCGTGGATATATTGCTGCTTTTTTGAAATTTTTTTTCTAGAAATAAGCAATAAGTATAGGTACTGTTCAAATAATTTTGTAAATATTTTGAAAAATCAAGGCTGTCGATAACAAAAATATTTTTTAAACATATATTTAATTAATTTCCAAAATAAAATATAAGCCTTTCGGTAAGCTTTAAAATAATAATTTTGTGTGAAGACGTATTTAATCTGAACAATGTAAAGACTGACTATGTTTGTTACATCAAGTAGTCTATTTGCATGAAATTTAATATTAAGTTTTGGCGCACAAAGCAATAAGAGCATATGCATATTTTCAATTTAGCAAAAAAAAATACGGTGGCAAACTGTCCGTCCCAATTGAAAACAAAATAAAAATACTGTCCGTGGAAAAAAAATTAGAATTTAGTTCTCCATTATTATGCTTGAAATAATGTTTCAATACTCTATCAATAATTATGATTGGTTACTATCTAAAGGCAAAGTCCTACTCTGAAGTCGGAGATATAAATGCCGCGCGGTATGAATATACTATAACATAGTCTTCGGGAATTGGGATGCTGTTATATTTTTTTTTCTACGAGCGTGCGGGAAATGGCTCTTTCCGCACGATTTGCTGTGCGGGAAGACTTTCTTTCCGCACCAGTGTGGGAAGAAATTTCTTCCCGCACTCAGTGCCGGAAGAGTTTGAAATAATCATTGTGGAATTGTTTGTATTGTTGATACACCTATACCTTTATCTTTAATACCTTTACCTTTTTTTTACTACTACCTTTCAATGCATTTTTAATTCTACCTTCTGCACAATCGCATTTTATTCAAATTAAACTTCTCGTAACATCAGTTTTAGTATGCTCGTGCTCGTATATAGTTCCTAACTCTTGCAGGAAGAAATTTTCCGCACTCGATAGGAAAATAGCTATTAATAATGCATTGAGAGATGGGAGAGTCTTCGTTCTTGAGGAGTTATTTCGAAACATTTCTCTTGTTCTTAGATTTTTGTGGAAATCTCTATTGTCACGGCTCTGAAGTACGTGACCGAAATCTTGGGTCTGTTCCGTTTATTCCAAAATCAAAGTCCAATTAACACAGCAATAATTTATTCCATGTAACTATACACTCTTACACTAATTACTTTAATAACTAACTCAACAACTAAAATCTTCACAGCTCTCAACAATAATCACTATTTAAATCGTATCACAGTCAAACTTAAACATAAAACTTCTAAATACCAGCTTGCTTTATATAGCCGTAAATCCATTCATGTACAATCTAGAATACACGCGATAACTCTCCTTTTCTCGATTAAGTAGAATTTACTAGATTATAGGCATCTGTAATTTCTAGGGTATTCGACAGCCTAGGATTCTTCACACACTCAGTTACGTGATATCGTCCAATTGACTCGTTTGGCTTAGTAGGATTTGCAAGTTCATAACTGACTGGTGGATGTAGTTGCAATATGACGTAGGGTCTATCTCGTTTCCGAAAAAACTTAGAAGTACCTAACTGCTTTGCTTGCTTGCATTACTTAAGCATTAGTTTTCAGTAGGACGTAGTCATCTATTTTCAGAAGCGGATTAAGACACTGGTGGACCCGGTGCCAATTTATTTTTTGGGGCCCCTATTTTTTTAGATAATGAAAGGAATGAAAAAAAAAAAACATCATCAGTCATTACCTACCTACTAACACCAACATTCAATAAAACATAATACATAAATTTGGCTTGCTTTCGCGGGGATTCAGGCACGAATCCCCTAACCTAGAACTATTGATGATTATGGCGATTATATGCTATCAAAGGAAGGTGCGTCTTTCTCATACCTATTATACTGACGTAGAAATATCGCGGGTTGTTTCGAGCTGGTGAAGCAAACAATATGAGACTTTCATCTCATATTATTATCGCCATCTTTGTCTAGGAAGCATGCGTTAATATAAAATTATTTCATCAATAAGCATCAATTTTAGGCAGCTGAAATTGCAGGCTTGCCTGTCAAAACATTTAATAAAGAAACCACCAGAAAAACAAAGCAAGTCAAAATGATGCATAATATCCTCAACTTGACGTGGCAGCACCGCACAAGAGGTATGTTACAAAATGCCAACCGCCGGCCAATAAGAATCTAGCATTTAACGCATGCGCAGTTCATGACCTCGTTCTACTTTGTTTGACAAAGATAGATATGCGAGATCATATACTTCTATTTCCCTTCCTTTGTTTCAAAATCCGCACATTGCACATTAAGTAAATAGGAAAGGCGCGATATACGTCAGTATAATAGGTATGTATATGGTCTTTCCCTCACTTTCCTGTATTTAATATTACAGTCCATTTTAAGGTTTGCGATAAGTATTCCTTAAAGTGAAATTTCTCCATGTAAAAATGTAATTTTAAGGGCCTGTTTCATAGGCATGATAGGTAACCCACAATATATCTGGTTTCATAATGTGTCGTTGAGTCGTTGAGCCAAAACCATTGATCAAAGTTCAGGTTATTTAACAATTAGGCCCAATTCTACAATTGGTGGTAGCCACAAGTTTGCAAAATAAGTCTTGAGTTAAATATTCTGTAGCGTGTAGGGTTGCCAACCCTCCCGATTTAGGCGATTTAGGAGAGTTTGGGCATCTAATCTGAATTGAAGGTATTGTATTGTGACGCTGACTGTACAATCTACAGTCAGATTGTAAGGGGGGTTTGAGCTACAAGAATTATCTGCCAAGTTCCACTTTATTTAAACCAGGTTCGATTTACACGGTCCAAGTATACTTGTAGTTTTGGAAGCTGCGCACGCCTCACTTGGACGATACTTGAATCGTATCAACTTACTTGGTCCAGCCAAAATATTGACCTCTGGTTTCCATATAGCAGTTTTTCTCACAAAAAGTCAATCTGTCAGCCCGTGAAAACCGGAGGGCGATATTTGGTCTGATTTCAAAAATATTGAGCTTGAAAGTTAGGTGAAAAAGTTTCCTTGCTCGAAAGCAATTGTCCAGAAGTTTATTATCGGTAAGACAGGCAACAACGTCGATACAATTTTTGAATTCATCAGATTTTGTTCAAATTGCACCACTGGTTTCAGTGATAATGGACCGTCCCGCTACTTTTCCTACAATCTGTATAGTATACAATAATAAAATGTGACAAAATAAGGGTGTGGGACCTCAAAAAAAATTATTTTTCACTCCCGCTACCTGCCGCTTTACAATTTTGAAAATCTGGCAACCCTAGTATCGTGACTAATGATATTGGTTTGGCTAACCTTGGTTTCTACCTGAGGTTTCCACCAACTATTTTAGGGGAGCCTTAACGATAAGTATTCCTTGAACTGACATTTCTCCATGTAAAAATGTAATTTTAGGGAATACTTATCGTTAGGGCTCCCCTAAAATAGTTGGTGGAAACGGCCATAAACCACATATTATTATGAAACAGGATATACCTATTGTGCATTACCAGTGTGTTATAGTTACCGTTGGGTTACCGTGTTTGAGAAACTGGCCCTTAGTTTGATAACCAGTGCAGGTTACCACCAATTGTGAAACTGGGCTTCAGGAATACTTATCGCTAAGGCTTCCTTGAAATGATCGGTGCAAACATGGTGCAAACGGCCATTAAATGAACATCTATCATAAAAAAAATTTAAACAATAATGTATCTAATGATAATAATCAGGTATGTACATCAAATACGTTGTATTCAATTTGTTATCATGGATGTCCATTTGAATCCTATAATATATTCATATATAAAATTAGCAAGAGGTAAGGCCCAAAATGTCGGCGTTTTCCATATGAATATATCGGATTTCAGAGTGTAACTATTGGTTCACTGAGCCATGGTCAATATGGCAACATAGTTATTCTCAATGATAGTTATAGACAATGGTTATAGGCTGATGGTTTATAATCTTGTCAAGCCAGCTTTTGGGGGAATTTTGGAAATGTTTGTTGAACAGTCAAGTTCAAATTTTTTTGTCTAATCTTCGATCTCGCGAGGGCCCCTTGGAACGTTAGGCCCGGTTCTATAGAACCGGTAGAACCCCCCTTAATCCAGGCTTGCCTATTTTATATGATGGATTGGGTTCGATTTTTATCAATTATTTCTTTTTGACGGTCTTGCTCTGTTTCCATTTTATTTTTGGCTTTCTCTAAATGATTGCTTAGACCAAGCAAATAAGGAGTTATGGTAGGGACAAAATTCTCCTACTGTATAATTGCTCATAAGTCGTAGGAAACATCGTTGGCTGTTCTGAGTTGTCTTCCAGAGGTTGGGAATGCTACTGTCTGTCCTGTATTCTGACAAACAGCTGTATTCATTGCGAATCGAATAGCGGCTAAATATTGGTCCCATGTGGTATGGTCGTCATTCACTAAAATTGCAAGCGGAGGTTAAAGGTCCCTATTCTTTCGTTCTACGGGTTTTGACGAAGGGTGGTAAAATGAGGTTAATCTTTGGTCGATTCCTAATACAGTACACACATGTTGCAGCACCTCGCTGACAAATTGAACAACATTATCACTGGTCAGTTATAAAAGGTAAGTTCTCATCAGCTTGCTTAAGGACTGTAGCGGTGGTTAAGGCCTGCTTCAAAGTCCGAAATGATTTTTTCTTTCTAATTCCAAATCCATTGTGCCTTTTTTCGAGAAACTTGGCAGATCAGAAATTGCTTAAATCTTCTCGAGGTTTACAACAATACCTTCAGAAGTCAATACATGACCAAGATATTTAATGTAAGTGCAAAGGTACATTCCTCTCTGTTAGCTCGTAGGTTGAATTTTTGAAATCGGTTTCTGATAACACTAGCAGATCATCCAAATATGCAAAATATTATGACATCAAGACCACTCTTAAATTTATCTATTAGCCTCTGGAATACAGACGGAGCGTTTTTAAGACCGAACGGCATTCTTTTAAACCTGAATAGAACAATAGGGGTAACAAATGCCGTTTCATCCCGATCCTTCTCCTCTACTGATATTTGCCAAAATTCGGACTGTAAGTCTATTGTGGACATGTATTTCGTCTGTTTTGTTCCTTGTAAAAGGTCATCTATTCGGGGCATTGGATATACTTGTCGCTAATTGTAATGCTATTGAGCTTTTGGTATTCGATGCACACTCTGATTTTACCATTGGGTTTTGGCACCATGACAACAGGGGCAGCCCATGGGCTCTCACATTCTTCAATTATGTCGTAAGAAAGCATTTTATCAATTTCTACCTTTAATATTTCTCGTTTGGTTTTGTTAAGTTAATAGGGTGGTAAAGAAATTGGAATAACATTAGGCTGGGTTCTAATGTGCAAGTCATTGATGGCCGGTGAAGTTGTTTCACTGGATGTAACATCAACAATCTCCGGAAAAGTATATTTATTTTGGGAATTCGCTCCAAATTGCCAAGATCGGTTTAATAGGTCCAGCACAATCTCAGAATTTCTTATAAAGTCGGCACCAAGTAGGGTGTATTCAGCATTAGGCAGAGCTAGGAAGTTTTTCAACACTGTCTGGTCCTCTATGTTCACATCTGTAGAAAAAGTAGGTAGGTACCTTACGAGTGGATACGCTTCCATCTGCTAATGTAATTGTAATAGTCCCCAGTACATCGACCCTAAAATGTTGTAACTCATGTACACGCCAAACTTCCTGAGCGGCTTCATAACACCAAGTCGGACAATTTTGTTCATATCTTCAACCTGGGCGATGGGACATTGTCGTGTTAGCTCTTCGTGAAGTTGTCATTCTGACGTCCCTGAGAATGGTGATACATGTACATGTAATTTTAATTCCATTCGACTGTTTTTTATGTTATATTAACGATACCACATTTGTCTGACAAAAATCTCGTGGCATTGGAGGGGTCCAACGACCTTAACATGTTGCTGTTGGGGGTGTCCGACCCCCACAATGCCACGAGATTTTTGTCCGACAAATTTGATATCGTTAATATAACATAGAAACAGTCGATTAGAATTAAAATTACATATACATGTATCGCCGTTCTCAGGGACGTCAGAATGACAACTTCCCGAAGAGCTAGTGCGACAATGTCCCATCGCACGAGTTGGAGATATGAACAAAATTGTCTGACTTGGTGCTATGAAGCCGCTCAGGAAATTTGGCGTGTACCTACATGAGTTACAAAATTTTGGGGTCGATGTACTGGGGACTATAACTGTTTCATATTTTATTTCTGATGATTTCTCAACATGGGTTTTATAAATCTCGAAAAGTCGTTTTTCTGCAATGTTCCTTGAGGCTTCTGTGTCTGCATAGGCTTGGCATAGGCGAGCCCACTTTCACCAAAAATTGTTATTGGAAGAACAGGTCTTGACGGCTTGGAAGAATCACTTAAGACATCGATTCCAAATAGTGTGGCTGGTTTTTGCTGGCTTTGATTATTTGAAGTACTTCTTTGGTTATGTTTTTTACATTTTGGGCAATTTGTCCTAATAACTCTTGGTGTTCCACAACCATAGCATGTATAGTAGTAACTTTTTCTCTCTTATCTTGGCCTCTTTATTCGTTTTTCTCCCTAGGAAGTTCATCTCTTTGTTTGGTTCTGCATTCTTCAACCTGGTGTTCTAAACGTTGACAATAAGCACATTTTGGCCTTACACGATTTTTATTGTCACTTGACCTTTGTGTATTTTGCCTTGAATTCATATTTGTGGTTTGGATTTCTTCAAACATAATTTCAATGGATCGGCTTCGCACTAATAGGTCCATGAACGTATTTAAGTCATTTCTAGGAATTTTATCTCTTATGCGCCTATCTAATAAGCCGTACCTATACCAGGTTTAGGCAGACTATTTCATCTAGTGTATAAGGCAACTTGAACAAAATAGCTCTGGCATTGCAAATAAACAGTTCCATCTCGAGTCCATTTTGTGTTTGTGAAAACAACTATTGAAATAACTTATAGGCTGGCTCCTTTCTGCCAAAAACATCTCTAAGCAACTGAATGGCTTCATCCCAACATTTGATTGTATGTTTTATGCCTTGATAGCAAGTAGCAGCTAAACCAATCAATAACATGGGCAATCCTTTGAGTACATTTCCATCTGAAACGTTAGCACAGCCTTTATAAGTTTCCACTGCATCCATGAAGGCTTCAACAGAAGTTGAAGGCGAAGCATCGAAGCGGCTTGTGCATTTAGTGAAATTGCCTTGTTTCTGAAACCGAGCACTGGCTCTGACTGAGTAGCAGGTACATTGGATTGAGCTGAGGTGAGCACAGTATTGATTAATTGCTCAAATTGTTCATTACTTAAAGTGACAGTGTTTGAACTTATTTCTGTGCAAGCTTTTGAGTCTGCAGTCGATTCACCAGTTACTATTTTCTTAGGAGGCATGATTTAAGTTTTAGTTAGTCTAGTAAATAGGTAAATAATGCCCGTATGCTTCCGGGACAGCTGGCACCGTCAAGAAATTTTGGTTTCTTAGCTAAGAACCTGATAAAATTTACAACATTGCAATTTCTTGGTTACTTTTGATTTTTTGTCAATTTTTACAGTTCGAGTTTGACAGTTTTAGTTGGTTCGTTGGTTGAAAATTTAAAAATTATTCACTTTCCGCGTATTTTTTAATGTATGTATTTGTTATTTCGTGTTTATAGACCTATAAAATATTCTAGGCCTCTCTTTGTTTTATGTTTCTCGAGGTGTTTTTTGGAGGCAAGGGTTGTTTCAAATATGAATGATAGAAAACAGTCTGAATTTAATTTTTCACAAAACGAAAAGCAACTGTTCATTTCCATTATAAGCAAATTTGCTAATATAATTGAAAATGAGAAGACAATACTTGCGAGACGGTGGGTTTTCTCACCTTGAATCGCCGAAAAAAAGACAAACCATCCATTGACTGGAAATAATTTTCTACATTGAAAGTTAAAACTAAAAATTCTTGGAAACCCATAATCGAAAATGTCCGAAGTATCAAAATCGTCTTCAACTAGCATGTCGAACTCCATTTTTTTGTATAGCGAAGGATGAAAAATCTTGTTCAATAGTTTAGTCCAGGAGGTGGCGTCAAAAACATGCAAGAGTTTTCGCAAGGCGGATATTTTCAAAATAGGTCGTACTTTAGTGCTAGAATGCTAGTGTACAGTCAGCACTCACAGTTCCGGGACAGCTGGCTCTGGGACGCGGGCAAAGTTGTAATTTTAAGAAGCATCTAAACTGTTTTCTCAAAGCTCAAAATTTATAGAAATTTTGCACATTATCTGTTTGAAGGTCACAGATAGCATATATAAATCCTCAGACGTCTAGTTCGTTGCAAAAAGGGGGTCAGACGTCCTCAAAGTTTTTATTTTATGGCATTTTCTTCAAATATATTTGTCAAATACCTGCAAAAATATATTTTGACAGGAAACCATAGACAATAAAAAATAAAAAGACCTTCAAAAGTATAGCCGAAATAGGTTATACTATTACTGCGCATCCGGTTGCGCATAGCGCATTGCGGAATTTTTGGAAAGCTAGAGACTTACGAAAGATCATTCCGATCATTCGATTCTGTTTCATCTTTCTCTGTCATACCAATTCACAAGACAAGGACACAGTATGAGTTACAGAGCTTTCCTAGCTGTTTTGTAGAAACCTATCAAATCCATAACTGTAGAAACTGTGACCGAGAAAACAAATAAGTACCCTAACCTTAAAATAACGACATTTCCGTGTTGAAATTTGTCATGTGTTTGTCATTTTTAACCGATTGGGCGGTCGTCTAAGAAGACTCGAACTCACAAAATCTAAAGAGCAAAAAGAAGAAATTGTCATTTTTATTAAGGCACTCGGTATCGCGGACCTATAATATTATGTACAACTAGGATAAACTGAACCAGTAAGTATACATGTTAGTTTTGTGATATACGGCATATTTTTTTTACTGTTTTAGGAGACCTCAGTCAGAAGAGATAAAATGTAGATGTTAGGCCAAAGAATGTTAGGCCTTGGACAGCTTAGCTTGTACATACATTAAAGCATGTATAAGGGATGTAATAACTGTGTTTGTAAACTCTTTAGGTATTTGACCTATCTAGCTATAATATAAGTATATTTTTTCTAGTAGATACAATTTAGTGTTTATTTTGCCTTTTTTTAAAATCTACATCAAAAAATGGTACAAAACTTTATGGAGTACCACATCATTTTTCTCATTCGGATTTGAGAAAAAAAGATGTGGAACAACATAAGTAAGTTTTTTGTGCAATCAACTCAAGTCAAATTTCAAAATTCCCGCCATTTCAGTATTTGTTCCGGCTGCCACTATTGACGCCACCGTCGCTGTGACGTCAGCGCTATACAAACTTTCATGTTATCAATCAGGTACTCTTACCTTGGTTTATTATATTTCTCTATGCAGGAAACCGAAGAAAATGCCATAAAATAAAAACTTTGAGGACGTCTGACCCCCTTTTTGCTACGAACTAGACGTCTGACGATTTACATACGTTATCTGTGACCTTCAAACAGATAATGTGCAAAATTTCTATAAATTTTGAGCTTTGAGAAAACAGTTTAGATGCTTCTTAAAATTACAACTTTGCCCGCGTCCCAGAGCCAGCTGTCCCGGAACTGTACACTAGCATTCTAGCACTTAATTACGACCTATTTTGAAAATATCCACCTTGCGAAAACTCTTGCATGTTTTTGACGCCAGCTCCCCAACTAGTTGTTATGTTACACGACACTCGTCAAACTTGTGTCAAACTCGTAAACAAACAACGTCAACAAACCTAACCGGTCCTAACCTAACCTCACAATCACAATAAAGACAGATTTTTATTACTTAAGTCGACGATTTCGATGACTGAACTTTGAGAAGAACTTAACAAGATTTGATTGGCGGTGCATACGAAATTTAAAACTTAAGTTGAAAGGGAAACTAAGAATAGAACAAAGTGAACGGTGCATACGGGCATGTGTCTATAAATCTGCACTATTTAGGTACGAAGACTTTAAATTCGGAGTTCAATAAATAGCAAACCTCGCACTATTGATGAAAATTCTTATGAAAGTTTTTTTTTTTTTTTAATCAAAGTTCAATAAATAGGAATAACCGCACTATTCATAAACGTATTAAAGTTCAGATTTCAATAAATAGGAAAAACAGCATTATTTATGAAAGTCTTAAAGTTCAGATATCAATGAATAGGAAAAACAGCACTATTCATGAAATAAACGAGCAAGATACTTACATACAAAAACAAAACAAAAATTGCAATGTTTGTGGGAACTTTCCAGAGTCACTTCACCAGTTTATGACACTTTTCTGGTCCCTCGTTTGGGCGCCAATATTACAAATCACTGTTAACACAAATTTCGTTTGATATGACTACTTTATTTCGCAGAAAACTTTATCATTTTTAAATTATTTTGATTGATCGATTGACAACATAGAATAAGATTGATTATACAACTCACTGTACATTATTCCCATATGACACGAGAGGCTTAACAAGTGATAAGCCTTGTAGGATTATCGCGCTTGGGGGCATTTATGGCAAATTCTATTATAGACATTTTTTAAAATTTTGAAGTATTGAAGTTTAGTTCGTTGTATAACCTTTTGAATAGCACTCGATGTTTCCGGATTACCTAATACTTTTACCTGACACTCAACGCGTTACCAGCAACACCACTCCTCCTTCGGAGTCGTGGTGTTGCTGCGTAACGCGTTTCGTGACAGGTAAAAGTATTATCCGGTAATCCTGAAACCTCTTGTGGTATTACATTCGATAATCCCGTTGACAAAAAATTCTACCAGTTTGCATGAGGCGATAGGTAATAGGTAATAGAGCTAATATGGAGATATAATAAATATGGGTTTGGGTTTGTTACAACCCCTATTTTCCTGTATAATATAAAGTAGATTTAATCGTCTTAAAGACAGCTTGGGCCTTATATATCCGATTTCTGTATAGCTAGCCAATCATCAACTTCGAAAAAAAATATAAAACTGACAATATCAGATATCAAAAAAATATATAATTTGTACCAACTATACCATATTATGTATTTATTCTACACTATCCTGATTATGTATTAAATAACATAATAAATATGTATACATTTTGGTAGAATACGTTGAATTATATGATACACAAATAGATATGATATTGTATTATGCAAAGCAAATTGAACAAAAAAATAATAATATTTTTATTAAATTAATGTTTTCTATATCGTTATACTCTGTAATTATGATAACTATTATAATTTTTGTATTTTATATCTAAATTTATATAAATGTATTGTATAATATCGATGTACTAAAAATATCAATGTATCTGTGTTAAATGTAAACTACAACAATATATGTATAATTAAATAGATACCTACCTATCTAATAATATAATTGATAATTTATTATAATTATTGGTATTCCTAAAGAGGGTTAAAATAACGTAAACTTATTCAATATATTAGGAATATGATACCCAATATGGCCCGTGTATACCTAATCTACTTTATTTTATTTTTAAAACACTTATTAGGATATAAAATACCTACTTATATACTCGATGATCGATGATCTATTATAAGCGCTTTTTCCTATTAAGTACTTTTTCTTATTGAAATTTCATTTGCCTAGTTGAAATTAAACAATAAATTATTATTACTACTAAGTGTTGCCTTTTCCCAAACTGTGATGTCATTATTAACGAAAAACAAAAATAAACATTTAAATGTGATACGGACCATGCACATATGGCTATAAGATGGTCCAAAATTTATTTAAAACTGTAAATATTCGCATTAATTATTGTGATTTGATTTATTTTTGAAACTTATGCAGCTCTATTAGCCAAAATGTGTATGCACCAAAGTGTATTTATCTCTGTGTTGTGTAACTATATTCTATTATCGATAAATAAAGTAATAAGTGTTGTGATATAAATATATAATAAGTATAAGTGCCAGTGGCGGCTCGTATATTAAAAATGTGGGGGTTGCAATTTCAATTGTACAATCATGCATGTTTTTCGTGAAGGTCCAGAATAAATGTCCTGGTGAAAGTCCTTTTTTTGCTAGTTACAGTTTGTTCAATTTTTAAATTTGGAGTAGGCCTTCCAAGTCTTTTTATTTCAGCCTTATCGGTTGATGAACGACCACAGAATGTCTCGGCAATTAAATTTTGAACAGAATTCATTTTTTTTTTCACCCCCCACACGACAAAATTTCACAAAACAAACCTAATCTGCGCTGCGAGCAAAAAAAATAAACAAAGTTTGCACTTAGCTTGCAACCTGCTGGAGCTTATGGAGCGGATTTCGAATCCACGCAAAGACAGGCCACCAAATGTGCGCCGTCATATAATAGATCGGTTTGCTTTGGAGCTGCAATCCCGCGACTCGAAGTCGCCGGCCGGCGGGCTGTCAGTTATTGATATTTTGGCGAAGTTGGTCAAATTATTTTATTAATCGACTGCGTATTATGTAGGTCCCAAATTTTGGTATAATTTATTTTTTAAATATAATTAGGTACTAAAATTTACTTAGTTCTAGTATTTTTGTTTTATATTTTTCAAGTTTTGTTTTGGGGGTTGCGCAAACCTGCAAACCTAAGGAAGAGCCGCCACTGATAAGTGCACATTTAGTTTCTGTAAATTATTATTTAATTTTTCTTATTTATCTACTAGGGGTAGATATTATTTTCTAAAAGATGCATTTATGTAGGTATGTATTTCTTTTATGTTTAAATAAAAATAATATACTTATGCTGTATAAGGCTGTTTTATTTATCAACTGTCAAAATAAGTTCACCAATCTATAATCCTGTTGGTCGGCAGAATAGGTACTGGCCGACCAATAGGATCATAGATTGCATTAACTAATAGTTTATCAGCAGGTGAATGAACCGAGCCTCACAAAAATAAAGTAGTTCAACAAAATAAAGACACATAAAAAATAGAAATACATTATACCAAAATCACAACTGTCATAGATACAATTATGTATATCATCATTGAGATTACAATCTGGATTCGTATCTTATCTCACATAGAAGTTGACAATGTTTTCTGGATTGGTTCTTTATTTGCACAGATACCGCCAAAGGATCAGTGTGATGGAATGCGACCAATCGTCACTTTCTTGTCACGAAAAGTTTGGGATTATCGATGTAGAATCGGAATTTTAGATAGCCAGACTCCAGACTCTGTGGTATTGAATCTGGAAAGATTTATTTAACGTCATATCTAGGGGATAGAAAAAACTCACTTAGGTAAAATGTGTAATGATCATTGAACAATATTGTTCTGGTGTAGTTGAATGATTTTAGATTGAAGATTTGTATAATTTTGGCAAGAAACAAATTTCAGGGGTTTTAGGATTTACAATAAGAAATATTGAAAAGATTTAATAAAAACCTTCGAATAATATATTGTTCGGTATTGGGTCTACTATAGTTACATGATTTTTGGTTGAAGGTTTTGAACACTATTGAAACATTACTCTAAAAAGAGATTTTTATTTCCGGGTTAGAACTATCGGAACAGGGACAGAGCCAAGTTCCTAAAATATATCCAAAGTTGGGAAAGCTTGGATAAAAAATTTAAAGTTGGGAAAAATTGGTAGACAAAAATTTGCGCACCTTATGTGCGAAATTAAAACTGGAAAATCCACAGGTTGCTGATAGAATGGTAATCGATGAAAGATTTCAAAATGAAAGTGAAAGATATCGAAACTGAAAAGGATATTTTTTCACCTTACCTGGCTCTACTTCCAAACTCCACTCAGCTGGCCAGCTCATTCAGGAAGTTCAGGTCCAATGCGAAGGAGTACAACGAAACCGTCTTGATTTAACCGGTCGCGGCAAACGAAAAACCGCGGGTCTATTTTATCGTACCACACGGAGCGGGCGGAGTGTTTTTGGCAACTGATTTACTTGTCGGCAGTGTAAGGACTTTGCCGGTATTCTTTTTTAGTGTTTAACGAGCGCATTTTTAAAAGCCAAATTTAGCAAAGCCGTATCACATTCTTAGGCATAAAGCAAGCGCAATTCAATTACAATAAGATGAAGCAAAAATAAAGAAAAAAAAAAACGAATCAATTTCTATTCCCAAATAGGATTTGACATCATAAATACCCAATTTAACCTCCTACCTTTACGTTTCCGGTAATAAAGAAACCGTTTTTTAAAAAATTAACTTTAATTTAAAAATTACAACTTCAAAAATAATAAAGCAAAAGTACTTGTGAACAGCTCAAAGTCTATGTCTAATCTGAAAGTTAAAAGTTTATTCGCATGGGGCATCCTGGTTTCAAGCTTACACAGTTCTCAAGAAACTGCTTAGGTCGGCGATGCAATGGTCAGCATGTTCCCACGAATGGCACACATAACTCCTCCATCCCTAAAAGGAACTCGAGGGTGGAATCACTCGTGTTTCGTCAATGGTCTCAGTAGCGGGAGGTTTTCTCAGGATTCTTGAAATTTTCATCTTGTTGTTTTTGATTGCGAAATATATGCCGCAAATCAATATTGCAGTTATTAGGATCCATGGAATCCAATTCATGTATGTACTTTGGTGAATTTTGGTAAATTCTAGAAAATCTTCTGTTGAACTCCGAAGTTGAAGTTCATGTAGCTTGTCCAAAGGGATTTTCTCTAATTTGATCTTCTCGGTCTTTGACACTGGAATTTGAACTGATTTTATTTCGTTGCGGGTGACTGGATGACCGTGAAATATGTCCTTTTCATTTTTGTAGACATATTTAGGCATTTTTATTGAACATTTTGGCGGGACTGTGAAAAGGCGGGTTCCTGTTATTGAAGTTACTTCGCTTTCTACACAGTCTGTTTGAATTCTTTGTTCTTCCGGAAAGATTCCAATATAGTGGGCGGAATCGATTTCTTCCATCATGGCTTTTTGGATATGTACTGGTACTTGTTGACATTGGTCCAAATTGTTGTTTAATGTCAGCAGTGACGTGATACAATCAGGGTTTTCGTGTATAGGTAGAAGTCGATTGTGTTTGCAGAAATAGTTTGGCTTGAGGTCAATGCATTCTTCATTTTGGTATTGGTAAAGGTCCGTACTTAGGGTGAGGTAGCTCGAAGGTGGTATTATGATGGATTGATTCTTATTAGGTACGGAGAAGAGGTGGTAATAATCGAAAATATTTGAGTGCACAAGAGGGAAATCCAGTGAAAACACGATTTTATTTTCTATCGCAAAAACATTTGTTTCTATGACTTCGTAATAATTCATGTATTCGTTTTGTGAAAATAACAATTGTGCGTGGTGGTGAGAATTATGAAATTCTTTGACGATTTCTTTTAATTCTTTTTGTGGAATTATGCTATGATGTAAGGTTTTTAAACTAGCAAAACTTATGGCATTTTCTATATCGTTTAGAAAATTAAGCACAGAGTCCAAATTTAACTTAATTTGGTCCATTATTTCGTGAATTTCTAGGTAATGCACGTAATTGGATTTTGTTTGTTGTAAATCACTAGCAATGTCATTAATTTTATTTTCGATTGCTTTTTGATTTTTCGAAACTACACTCATTGTTTGATTGATACTTGTCATTAGGTTAGAGGTTAAAGATATTTGTTTATTTACTTTTTCAATTATTTTGTTTTGTTTACTTTCGAGTTCCAGAATATTATCATGTATTTCCTTTGCGTCTTCTTGGTCCAGATTACCAGTAATTTATTTCACTAGTGAGCCTAAAGGGTTAATTAAGCCTCTTTTTGCTCTATGTCCTGGACTGATTGATTTTAATTTCTGATTGACTACGTTTACTTCGTAGCTTAAGTGTTTATAAGTTTCAAGTAACGGAAGTCTGTGCGCAATTAAAGAGGAATTAATGATGTTTTCTAGCTTTTCATATTGATAGGTTATAGAATCAATTTGCTTTTGCAAAGATGTCAAATCGATGTAATGTAAGAATGTGTGGGTGGCTATTTTCATCTTGGCAGTTCCTAGTTTGAAGGGAAGTATGCCAGGAATGTTGTCAAGATTCTGTATCTGAACTTTCTGTGCCCTCGTCAGGTGAAGTAGTGCCATCAACCTGTAAAAGGGTTTGGTCAGTAAATTTTCGTGGAATACTTGTTTGTGATAAGTATTTTGGGTGGTAGTGACAGTTAAGTCATTACTTTGTAAGACGTGTTCTGGTTTATATAAAGGATTTGTCTTGCCCTGGCGGTCGGTTAGTTTTTTATAACCTATTTTTCCGGGTTGAATTTCGACAGGGTCTTTTCGTTTTTCGTTGGCTTTAGAAATTACTTTTTCTTTATGCTCGGTCATTTTATTATGAATGTTTTTATAAATATCTGAGATTATCTCTTTATGCTTATTTAGTTCGTGATTAATTAATTGGGTATCGTTATCAATATCGATTGGTTCCTTTAATTGAAGGTGACCAAAAATTAAATCGATTGGTTTCTGCTTTGTTGCTGAATGGATTGAATTGTTATACCCTATAATAGCAAAGTTCAATTTTTCAAATGGATTTAGGTTTGGTTTGGACAAAACTAGAGTCCGCATGTGCTCTAATAGTGTAGAGTGAAATCGTTCAACAATAGAGTTGCTATTCGGGTTTAAGGGCAAGGTGTAATGCCAATTGATTTTATAAAGTTTGGCGAATTCTTTAAGAAGATTTTGATTGAATTCGGTACCATTATCAGATACGATGTTTTCCGGGATTTTGTAATTTGAGACAAATTGTAAGAGAGATTGATAGACGTGTACGGCAGATAAGCTTGGTAGGACATAGGCTTGTCCAAATTTCGAGAAACTATCACAAATTGTTAACGCAACAGTTTTTTCAAATTTGAAAGTATCCACATGAATGGTTTCAAATGGTTTTTTAGGCGTGGGTGTTAATTGCAATTTTATCAATGGTGGGTGACGTTCATATTTCAGTTGTTGACAGATTGAGCAACTATTTATGAATTTTCTGACAATAATATTTTAGGCGTAGTTGGTCAATCGTTTCGTGAATGCCTCTATGATTGGTGATACCTTCATGTTGGTTTTTAATGAGATTTTTCTGCCTATCTTCTTTAGTTACATCGCAAAGCATTTTATTAGATTTCAAAAACTTGTAAGATGCATGTTTAAATGTTTGCGGTATAAACCTACACATTTGCTTAAACAGCATTTCGTCTTCGTCATTTTGAAAAAGAAAGACGTATTGCCTTTTTGGTTCTACGTATTCTTTTATGTATTGGATAATTTGTGCTTGGAAAGAATCGTTTGTTACGTAAATATACCATCGGGTTCTATTTACAGGATTTTGGAAAATTTTCTTTATTTCAATTCGGGGGTTATTTTCGACTTTTATAATGACTATTTGACAAAGAAAATAATTTATTGGTTTTTCACTAATGTGAATAGATAAAATGGGATTTTCAGAATCGGTATGTATTGTGTCATTATCATTAAATTCGTCAGGGTCAGCTTGGCCAGCAATTGACTGGTTGTCGGTCGCAACATCGGGATTGTTTTCATTATTTTCAAAAGCTGTTGTAATTTGATCATTGGGTCCGTGACTTGTGCTCGGAAGCTGATTGTCTAGAACGGGATTATTGTTGTATTCTTGCATATACTGCAAAACAGGCGGTAAATTTGAGTCAAGGCTGTTGTCGTTATTTTCAGGTGGTGTTGGCGAAGTATCATTTACTTCATTTGCGTTTATCTCGACTCTAGATAGCGCGTCGGCATTTGTATTGTTTTTGCCTTTTTTATAAATTATCTGATAGTCGAATTCCTCGAGTTTCAGACGCCATCGAACTAAACGTGAACCTGAATTTTGTTCTTTTAAGTTCATTAGCCATTGAAGGGGACGATGGTCGGTGATAATTTTGAATTTTCTACCAAATAAATATGGTCTAAAATAGCGCGTTCCCCAGACAATACTCAAGAGCTCCTTTTCAATTACTGAATAATTTTGCT